AAAAAGAACTTTCTTTTGACATTATGAAAAACCTCCCTGTTATTTTTTTTGTAAGTTATTTTTTTTGAAGTTTTTTTGTTTGTTCTAGACACAACAAGTTACTTCTTATTCTATAAAATTGGAATCTAATTTAATTTTGAAATTGCATCAAACAAAATAAATTGTTAAGAAGATATAAACAGTTAAAATATTACAAGTAACATATGAAATGATGAAATTAATATGAAATAAAGTTGATACGAAAAAGAAAAAGACGGCATTGTTGAATTGAAGGTGCCATCCATGGTGGATGCAGAGAGAGTTCACAGAGATGCATGGAGTCTTTTAGTGTATCACTGTAATAACGCAAACATGTAACATCCGGGCCCTTGAAAGTTGTTTTCGTCACATGTGATCCATAATATCAAAGGCATTCAAAGAACCAAGGGAAAGGCAGTTTAGAATTTTTCCGGAGGACATGGAGATAATGACCCAACGAAAAGCATAGAGTACTCCGAATAACCTCAAACCATGTTATTAGGATTCGATTTCTGTAGCGAATAAATTGTCTTCTGACTACAAACTTTCAGTTGCAAGTCATTAGCTGATTAATGTCACAAACCTCTATGATCACCTTTTCAAGTGATGGCAACACAAGAAAAGATGCCCGATGATTCCTTGACACAGACAAACAGGGCAAAATGCTTGATAAAATGCACATGAAAATATCCAAAGGAATTGCTAAAATTCAGTGCTCATTCGTTCAAATAATAATCTCGTTTTGGTATAGCATTGCTAATCATGTTTAAGTCACGCAGCATGGCCAACCATAGCTTACATCATACAATCAAAGATGAACTTACCGGAATTACAGAGGAAAAAAAGAGGTATCAATGATGATGATGATGATGATACAAGTAAAGAATAGAGTGCCTGCTCCCATCCAAGTTTTGATTTGGGAGAGGCAAACAATCACATCTGGATGACGTAAACTCCACAATGGAAAGTTTTGAGAGTATTAGCTGCCCCTTGCTGGTCCACTTGAACACTGGGTCAATATCTCAGCCCCGTCTTTTGTGATTAGAATGGTGTGCTCGAACTGTGCTGATAGGCTTCCATCTTCGGTTACAACTGTCCAGTTATCATCCCACATTACAGGGTTAACGCTACCAATTGTCAACATGGGTTCTGCATTAATTCACCATGGCAATTGGTGGGTGAGAAAGGAGGGAGGTCAGTCATTTACCATATACAATAGTCCACAAGAAAAGAAAAGGAAGCTACAACTTCCAAGTGATTCCATTTGTACATGTGAGACTAGCAGTTGAAGTTGCTAGTGCTGGGAATGGAGTCACTTGGAATGATCTTTAACTAATGGACGTGAGCACAAATCCATGTGTGTGAATGTTCAACCAATCTATTCCTGATTGACTCAATTGGTATGGAAGTTATATATAACATGGGAAAACCATAGAAAACACAACTTATTTGAATGTCAGGAGGGACAGAATCAAAACACTCACATCAAGATGTTTTAAGAGAAATGTGAAGCAATTAACAACAGAAATTTAATTCATACTGTAAATTATCGAACACCTCCCCAGAAAAAAATTATCAACAGAGATACTAAATGTTTTCATCCCTCCAAATATCATTAGATTCTCCATTCCTTGGAGCTGCAATATTACCACTTTTGCTTTGATTAGAAAACTTGAATTCATCAGGACATTTCATATCACATGCATATGAATTAATGAAGCGTGTAAGGTAAATTTCACATGTAAATACCAATAGTGAAGGTCTGATTCAACATCATACGCCCACCATCATTGTTTCCTGAAAAGAACATAACATTGTTTGTGTTAAGATTATTAATATTATCTTTTGGAAAGAAAAAAAATTGCATTAATGCTGGCATCTGGGAGAAAAAGGAGAAATAAGAAAAATTCTTTATTGCGATCATATAGGTAAGGCTCAGTCTAATAGGAAATGTTTCTGTATCTCTATCTGCAATTACATTAAGAATAGTACTCAAGGTACCAGATTACTATATTGTTGCCCAACTAGCTCTTTAAACAAACTTATCAAAAGTTCCCCTTTCATCTTTACTATATTTCAGCATTCTATGCAGATTGCTATTTCATTCGTTCCATGGTCAATAAAATAACATGAGAACCTGCAGCTCTTTTATGTTTAGCAAACTTCAGTGCATCTAGCAAATCAAATTGTGTGAGTGTCCCTTGCTCATCTTTTTCAATACTTCCAAATTCTCATTTTCATTCGGAAACATCTAGATATTGTGGAGGCTTTGATATACAATCATGCAGAATGGCACAAAAAGATCCATGTATAGCTGGCCCCAACTAGGTTGGGATTAAGGCTTCGTTGTTCCAAATCCCAGAACCTAACAAGTGAAGGGTGCAAGGGGACACCCAGCTATTATTAAAACCACATAACATGTGAAATGAAATAGCAGAGGAGAGTTCAAAGTCAGGTCAATTACTGAAGTGCTGAACAACTGGATCGGCATGGAATACACGTCCAACACCATGGCCAACAAAATGTCGGACAACACCGTAACGATATTTATCTGCATGGTCACTTGAGAAAACATAATCATAAGTGAGTATCAAATCAAAACTGAAATGTTTTTGTTTGTTTGTGTGAGCGAGCGTGGTCATGGGAAAGCGTGCATTTTTGTGTGACACATATACAAGCTAAAGATTTCGATGATGCTTGGTAACTAGAGATGAAAAGATCCCCTTGGAAGTCAGAAAAAAATTGAAATTGAAGAGATTTTAAAATTCCTCAAATATGTAGGGCATAGTTTTCAAGTTCTTCATAAAGTTGATAAAATCATTAGTCAATAAATATCATCGATTCACCAGTAGTCAATAAAATATTCACAATAGAGGATAAACCAAGGGCAAGAAATGCAGAAATTAAAACGGTAAAAATACTATATATATATATATAGTGGGAATGTAAGATTCATTATATATATATATATATATATATAATGAATCTGATCTT